CTAACTAGCTGCTTCATAGTTCCATAGCCACTTTCTAATCAAGACTCCCCTTTTCTTAGTTAGAAATATGCCTCATATTTCTCCTTTGCTTTCTTAACATTGGTTGCAGGCATAAGCCCCTAAGTAGAGGTTGTCATTTACTCTCCATCAGTTTTTTGATGAAGCATTTATTTCTGACATGTAGAATGTTTACAAATTATCTTTGCTGAATACAAAATGAAAGAACTTTACATGCTACTCCCTGTACCTTCTTGCAAGAACTTGTCCTTATATGGTATCTTAGGGATACTCTTGCTGTGATGAAACGCCATGACAAAAAAGTAAGCTGGGGTTATTATGCTTATACTTCCATGATACCTTTTTTCATGGAAGGAAGTCAGGACAGAAACTCAAATAAGACAGGAACCTACAGACAGCAACTTCTGCAGAGGCCATAGAGGGGTGCTCCTTACTGGCTTGCTAATCATGGCTTGTGCTGTCTGCTTTCTTATAGAACCTCAGACTACCAGCCCATGGATTTCACCACCCACATGAGCTGAGCCCTCCCCCATCAATCACTGATTAAAGAAATGTCCTACAGGTCTGCCTACAACCCAATTTTATGCAGGCGTTTTCTTAATTAAGTTTCCCTCCTCTCAGATGGCTTTAGCTTATGTCAAGTTGACATAAAACTCCCCAGCACATATGGATGTTGAAGATGACAACCAGGAGAGACCTGCATAACTGGCTTGAATTCTTTTGATTTGTGAAGTCTGTTTATAGATTCATATCTAATAAATACTCAACTCTTAATTTTAGGAAATGATGCTTTTCCATTAAACATCTCCTGTCCCTTCTTCTACCTCTTTTATTACCCAATGCTTTTGATAAAGATAAAGAGATAATGGTCATTTTTAATGCTAACTGCCAGTTAAGTTCCTATGTCTAGTCTTTCTGAACCAATACTTTCTAAACAAATACTAAGAATGGCCAAAAATGCATATTGGCTTTTTAGGGGCATATAGGCTTTTCCTATCTGCCACAAAAAATAAAACAAGATTTCTCCACTAAATTTATTTTCCAGCAGTAGAGTTATTAATCTTCAGTACATTTGACTGATAATAAGTTGTAAAAACAGTCAAGCTGAAGATAGCATCTCTTTATCTACCTGTTCTATTATGGAAATGAATCAAAATTAAATACAAACATAATCATCCGGTGGCTTCAATGCTCAAATTGGTGTAGTCAGCATGGATGTTATGACTTTTTTCTATTATCAGTTCGTGATTGATGTGAGCATAATGCAAAGAAAATAGAAGTAGAATTCAGTCTGAAACCTTTCAGTTTGAAAATAATCACTGTCCTTTATTAACTTGGAAGCTACAATCGGATTGACCCATGTAAATAAAATTAATTTTTGTACATCTAAATTGTCAGTCAAATCAGTCTCACTACCCTTGAACTGGAGATGATTACAGTTGCCTCTTTCAGTAAGAAGCAGAAAAGATTTACTGTAAGAGTTAACTGGCATGTATTCCTTCTTTTGATTAAAAATTATAGTGAAATGTTCTTAATTTCTTATGAATAGCAAATATTTTCCATTTACAAATTACATCACTGCTGATTAGGACAGAATAATATATTGAAACACAATACAACTTCAGTACAAAAGATATCCTTTGATGTAAAAATGATCTTTTAGTAAGATTCAATGAATTTTGAGAAGTTGGATTCATAATTTGTCATCCTCAGAGTCCTTGTTTCTTTGGAATAAATTGCCAAATTCTGGCATAGAATCTGTTCCAAACTAAAAGTCTGAGTCAGGTCTCATTTCTGTGATATTTTGTCCCTAGGAAGAGCTATTCATTCTTGTCCTGTTATTCTGCTCTACCCTGTACAGAATGTTGAAAGATACATACACAGTACATACTGGTTATTTTTTCACATGCTGTGTGATCACACAATACCATTGCCAGTAGTTTACAACAAGCTCAAGTTTATTGACTTGCCATTCTAGACAAGTCCAAGATCATGTGTTCACAGAATTGGGGCAGGGGTGGGAGATAGCAAAAGAGGAGAGGAGAGGAAAAAGGAGGTAAAGCTGGAAAGATAAAATATATCCCCAAGTCTCTTTACAACCAGTTAATTCACTGAGGAGGATGGGACCCTTATCAGGGAATCATGTCCCATTAAGCACTGTTTTCCTAATGCTGGTAAGCTGGGAATCAAGTTTTCAACATGTGTTTTGAAATAAACACCTTCAAACCATATCATATGGCAATATGGATTCTTTAATTATTTTTGGTTTGACATCATACTCATATTTAGAGGGAGGCAGAGAGAGAGTAGACTTCAAGAAAAAAAATTGCATAAAGTGTTATTGAAAGAAAAGGCTGAATACCTTCCATTTTGTTTTTAAGGAGAGATCAGCTTAAATTCAAATATATGTTGAATAAAACATTTAAGATAATTGACTTCTATTTATCACACAGCATTGTATTTATAAATGTGAGTGTTTCAGCCACAGGGACCTATGGATGAGTCATAATGTCCTGTGAGGAGTAGCTGAAGGAGATGATGATTATGTAGATGTTTCTTCTAACTTCAGTGTAAGCAAAGCTTGCTCTGTCTGCTAGATCCTATACTTAAGGCTAACATGCTAGAAATCTTATCTAATTGTGAAATAGGTTCTTATTGTGATCATAACTAAAATATCAAAATGCTGTTTCTTCCTTTTAAACACTATTTCCATAGACTGGCCATTTCTGGTAGTTTAAGGGCTTAAGGCATAATTAGACCTTGTTTTCCTCTACTTGCCCAGCCACCTCACTTTTTTCCCTTTGATATTTTCTACTCTTGGCAAGAGGCAGTGTAAAGACAACGTATGGCTCTCACCACTAAAGTAATTAAAGACAGTTTATTCTAAATCAAATGAGTGATCATGAGCCTAGAACACACGTTCAGGTTAGTCCAATTAACATGTTCCAACATGGAAGTAGTAATGATGATTTTTATAATCACAGCAACCACAAAGTCATAAATGAACATATTTAACAAATATATAGGTAGAGGAATCACATAAATGGGTTGTAACAAATCTTGAGGTCAGCTTTAGGTCTCAGATGTAACTCATGAGTCTGAACTTGTAGGTTGGTGAAAGCTATAGTCAAGTTATTGTCCCAAAAGTTTTAGCACTGTTTGAAAGGATGTTATATCTGATGCAAAAGTGGGCAATGAATGACTATTAAGGCTAATTATAACCCAAAATAATTTGGGCTCAGAATCTATAACATTCTAATTCCTCATGATCATGAAATTCTAACTAGTCATTCAACCTGGTGGAATCTTCAACGTAATTTTGACTTTGTTTCAGAACTAGTTTATCAAGAATAAGAAACATATAGAAATTGTAGTTGACTCAGTTCTTACAGTTTTTCTAGTTGAGAAAATGTTATATAGAATATAACATAATATATAATATATTATATAGTTATACAGCTGTCATGATTTTAACTTCTGGTATTCATATCCTGTGTGCTCCCTTTGTTTTTTTTTTTGTTTTTGGTTTGTTTGTTTGCTTTCTGTGTAACTTAGAAGAATTGCCCTATTGGCAACGATGTAAAAAAAAAAACTTCGAAGATTCTTACCTGTGTGGCAGTAAGCTGAAGGCCTCTATCCAAACAATTACAAGAATTAAGGACTCATTTACCCCACCAGAAATGAGTGCAAATCTGCCCAGGACAATGTTCATATCCTGGTGGAAGTCAGAACTGCCAGTTGAGCATGACCAGGGTTTCTGATATGCTCTGAAAATAACCAGCAGTTGTCCTGACTTCTCTTGGGATACATAAAGAGATGTCTCTTCACCCCTTATAATGCACTTAAAGACTAAAGATCAGATTCTGTCCAAGTCTAGCCGGTGATGTAGTTGTTGGAAATCGAGGAGAAGAACAGAATGACAGAAAGGAGCTGACACAAGTCACCCTTCACAAAACCTTAGCACAATGTCCTGAAGCAGCAGGATGGCCCTTCTTGCACAAAGAGGAGCTGTTTTAGAGAGAACATTGTCCAAGACACCATCCAGAGCCCTACAAGCCATTAAAGCCCTAAACAAAGGGAATTTCTAATTTTGTAACTTTAGAGGGTGATGGTGAGAGACTCTGTGCACTTGAGTTGACAACAACTCCAGTCCCAAACCTCAATCAACCTATCATCTATAGATGTAGTACCTACCACAACCTTGTGCTAGAGTACATCAGTAAGAGGGAAACAAGGAGACTAATAGAAATTCAGGATCAGCCGGGCGGTGGTGGCACACGCCTTTAATCCCAGCACTTGGGAGGCAGAGCCAGGCAGATCTCTGTGAGTTCAAGGCTGGGCTGGCCCGATAGCCTCCAAAACAATACAGAGAAACCCTGTCTCGAAAAACCAAAAAAAAAAAAAAAAAAAAAAAAAAAAGAAAGAAATTCAGGATCACATGAGCCTTCCTGTTCACAGGGAATGTCAACAACCTCATTAACAATATCATGGCTCTGCCATCTCCATATTGATGTGTTCATGTTGCCATGACTGCAGGTTAAAGTATCCTGTAGGTCAGCAAAGCAAACTGACTTCCTGATGATAGATGGTGATGTCACACAAGGAAAACAACTCTACTACCATATAAACTGTTATTTATTACTCAGAAATAGGTGACTATTGTGACAGTGTAAGCAAATCCATTCATTAAATACAGAACTAAAGTGGCCTCAGAAAGATAATTACAGCAAAACAGAAGGTTTGGATTATTTAAGATGGAGTCAACTGAAAACCCTTTAAAGTTGAACTTGAGTTATAAAACTTTCAATGGGAGTAAAGCATTGGAATTACGGGAAGTTATTCCAGATAAAGGTCTGTGAAGAACAGCCCAGAGATGGGAAACAATATGACTTTGCAAGTACACTGGAAAGGTTTTGTCTGATCTCTGAACTGTGGCCAAGTGTGGTATTGAATTAATTTACACATCCTTTATTCCATACCAGGAAGAAAGAATTTCATGCTATGGGGCCTGAGACAGTAAATTGAAATCAACTAGATATCGTCTACATAAATCCTCGAAAGGACTGGCTTCACTGGGGCATTCTTTTCAAACCTGTAAGAATTCTTTACTATATTGTCTGTCCCTCCCTTCTTTGTTGCTCCCTCCCTCCCTCTCCCTTCCTCCTTCTTTCTCCCTTCCACCCATCTCTTCCCCTCCTCTCCTCTCTACTTTTCTTCCCTCATTCCTATTTCTTTCTCCCTCCCTGTCCTTGCATTTGTTTCTGTCTTAGGGAATCAACCTTTCCCCACCATCTTGCCTTAGGATTTACTTACTCTGGGTCCTTTTGTCCAGTGTGTCTAAATCATTGTGATCCATTGGTAGACCCCCTAAACACATACACACACACACACACACACACACACACACACACACACACTTTGTGTGATGACATCAGTTGTGCAGTACTCCACAAAATAGGTAAGAGGAGATGGAACACATCCATCGAAGACAATGGCAAATTTTCCATCTTATTCAAATTACAAGAGAATATTTTTATGGCTAAAACACTGTCCTTATACCAAAAGGGAAGGAGGGAGGACACTGCTATTACACTGCCACTGTATTTGCCGCAGTTAGGGTCCAGGTTTGAAAAGTCTGGGGTATACCTCAATTCCTGAGAGTGTGCAGTGCCTCTGCAGAGTGAGTTTGCCCCACAGGGCATATCATTTTTCTTTAAAAGTTCTAAGCCAACATTAAAAATCTACTAAGTTGTTAGGCTAATTTATTAAAATTACACTTTATCTTTCCCACATCTATGATATGATTGTCAAAAAATTCTTAAGTAAACAGTATGCTTTATTTCCAGTCCAAGTTATTTAATGATGTGGGCAGATAGTTAAAGCATGGCAAAGAACTGTTCCCTAGAACTACCTGTTTGTACTGGTACACGTCGATTTGATTAGGGGCTCTGAAGATGCTTAAGATACACTAATATGCTACTATTTAGTAATTATGTATGCGCCATCTATAAGTAAAAGTCGTTAATTTCATTACTCAACTTGAGAAATGTAGTCTTGAGAAATCCAGCTAAGCTGTCAAGAGTCATTCCTAAAGGGCTGAAGTGCTTTTGTCTCAGGCCTGTCTGACTCCACTCTCAAACCGCCAGTGACTACACATGATCCCTCCAAGGTCCTGATGAAAAAGCAGAAACAGTCCTCAGAGGAGCATCACCACTCTGAAAAGAGCTGAAGAAACCACCCATCTTTTAGACAATTGAGGTTAATAAGGGAAAGGCACTACACTGCCAAGTCACTGATAGGGTCCTGTTGTTTGACCAGATGATTTTCTCAGCCAGTAATCATTTTCATGGACCATAGAACCGATTAGATATGAAAATGGCCTAGGTCTGGAAAATGGAAGCACACCCAAAGCAAACTCCCAGTCCTTCCCCTGCGCAGGTTCTGCTCCGTCATGTAGAGAGAGGGAGAAAGGCTGAATCGCGGTTGCTCCATGCTTATTATTCACATGGTGATTTCCTTAAACACTTTCCCTTCAGATTGCTCAAAGAATCCTCTCAAATATCACAAGCCCTTGTTCCTGATCCTGAGATGGAATATAAAAATAAATAGACGGCTGTTTTGTTTATTGTTCTGTGAAATTACGTTATTAAGAGGGGCATCGTTTTAAATTAGGAAGTGATGCATGGCTCTAACTGGCTCCAACCCGTTACATTTTTATGATTAGAGAACATTTTGTCATGTTAGAAAACTCCAAGGAAATGATTGGAGATGTTTCACGCTGTTCCTGTCTTGAATGTAACTGACTATATTATACACAGAGATGCTACCAGGAAAATCCAGGTGTGGTACTACCTAGGAAAGTAAATGATAAAGTCCAAAATGTACTGCTATGATATTTGTCTTAGCATGAATTGAAATTAACTTAGGCTACTGTCCTTAGAATGAGAGAAGCCTGAACAAATGTAATCTCTGTAACTTGTTAATTGCCTGAATCTTAATGGATGACTTGGCTTTTTTAAACAGCTTGAGGTCCTTCTAAATTAATGCAGATTATTACCCCATAGAATAATGGAGAGGGTTAGGGAAGAACATATACATCAAATACTAAATATATGCTGTTGTTCAATATGTAATAGGTGTTTTTTTTGGATGAGGAAGAGTTGATATTCTTACCAATCTGTGAATCAATGGACTGGGTCCCCTGCTGGAAGTCCCTTAGGATTCACTAATGTGACAGTCCCTCAGACTGTAATGGGCTTCACTTCCTTTAAATTATGGATGTTTTAATGTTCTTTTACTCCATGTAATATTTAATATGATATCTGATGTTCAGGAGGTACTCATACTGCTTTTAAGCAATAAAACAATACATGTGAAAAAAAAAAGACATTTCTCCTGAGCTGAGAAATAAGGAGCTGGATAGAAGACCCTCTGCATTGACTCTTATGTACTGAGTGCTGTCTTCATCTCTGAAATGCATTAGCTAAAAATAGTGCTCATAGACCAGCCCAATTTTAGACCACACCCTCCCGGCAGAAAACACACTTTAATAAGTCACTGGGCCACCTGAGAGCAAGCAACACATTCTACATGCCTGTGCTTTGTCCCCGATTACAGGATTGAACAAACGTGCTACTTTTCATTGCTCTGTTAGCTATTCATAGGATATGGCAGACCCTATGTTAAAGCACCCATTCATTCCATACTTAGGCCACGTTGAATTTCCCAGGAGGCTTCACCTCACTACCATGATTTCTGCATTTTGCCCTGCTCCTTGAGGCTCTTAGACTCATGCTAAATATTCTGTCTACCCAAAAGGCTTTTTTAAAAAATTTCCCAACTCCCTTTTATAGCTCTCCCTTTGTGATTTCATAGAAATTGGCTCTTTGCAGCAATATATGTGGTAACAGAGTCATCATATACATGCTGCTTATTCTTTTTCAGGAGTTGTAATGGCTTTTCTGGTTTGCATATATTTGCATTGTCCCATGGAATTGTTTCTGACTTATAATAAGTTGACTGTAAATACTGGTGGGATCAATGGATTAGGTCAGCCCATTGCCTAACAAGAATCAGGCAGACAGATGCTGAGAGAGAACTTTTGGAAGAATATTGTAGTAAGATATGAACTTTCCAAGAAAATTATGACTGTTGTGTTTCAATCTCAGAGGAAAAAAGGAGAAAGCAGCGTTTAATCTTGAGTATTCAAGGATTTTAAGAACACAGTAATCTATGTTCTCCTTCTTTGTTAAAACCAACAAGAAAATAAACAAAGACAAAAGTTCCCCAAGCGTAAAAGCATAGACAGCTGCCTGGTGTCTTCTATTGCTGTGGGAAAACACCATGACCAAAAGCAACTTGGGGAGAAAGAGGGTTTATGTCAGTTTATACAACCCAATCCCAGGACATCATATAAGGAAGATGTTTTATTTTGAGGTGAAATATTTTATGTAGCATTTTTTACAGCTGTTTATTGTTAGGGTGAATGATTGCCATACTGTATCAAATGTAAATCATTCACTAATCTACCATTTGATCTCTTTATCGGCCAAAAAAGAATTTCATTTTAAGTGCTTGATTTTAGTGATAAGAATCAAAGTATCTTAAGCGTGTTCAACTTCAAAACAAATGACTCTATCTTCTCTGAAGCAAAGCAAATTATAGTTACAGATGGATTTAATCTTCAAACGAAACATAGGAAAAGTGGATCTCAGAAACAATGGAGCTGAACAGATAATTCCGAAGGGGGAAAAAGCGATTGGTCTACATTTAACAAAAGCAAAACAAAGTCAGTCAGGTCAAAAGAAATTGCTCTTTGAAGAAGTTTACATCTTGACTCCTCTAGATGCCTGTGTTGAGAAGATATACTTATGCATTTGATGCGCACAGGTCATAAGCAACTGTAGCACTGAATATTAAGATATTATTTTTTAGAAAAGATATTTGAGTAGAAAAAATCTAAGATTTTTTCTCAATATATGTTTTTATTTAAATTAGAAATGTGAATGTTTCACATGTCAGTCCCAGTTCCCTCTCCCACCCCTCCTCCCTTGTCCCTCCACCTACTCCCCAACCCCCCAACCAATCCTCACATCCTTCCCCAGGGAGGGTGAGACCCTCCTTGGGGGGAGGAGATCTAAGATTTTTAAGCATAGCTTTCCTTTTGAGTTTTAATAGACAAATGACTTCCCCTAATTGTCCCAGATTGCTGCAGTATCAGATATTATCATCATCAGTGCAGCTTCATGATGAGGAGACATGAAGAAAAGCCCTATGACACAATCCTCAATGCATGGAACTCAGCAGAGCCTGCCTCCAGCACACCCTAAGCAGTCTCAGGGCAAGGAAAGGAACTTATTCCTTAAGATGTCTCTTTTTTGCCTCTCCTTTTGATAAAATGTATAATAGCATCTCCCTTTTAGAGTTAATGTGTACATCAAATGATCTAACAGATGAATGTATTAAAGACTTAGATGTATGCTCAAAATGTTCCATTCTAGTTTTTTCTTTCAAATTAGATGCTTTCTTTTTCCTTTTCAATATATGTGTATTCATAAATACATTAGTATGTCTGAGTGCAGGTAGACATGTACCAAAATGAGCATGATAGTCTTTGCCTTCTCCCTCATTTGAGGCAGTTTCCATTGTTATCCACTTAATATACCAGGCCAGATGTCCTAAATGCTTTCTGGGATTCTTAATCTCTGCCTCATTTCTCAGTAGAGCTTTGAGATTGCAATCACAAGCTACAATTTCTGGACTTAGTGGGTTCTTGGTGTATAACTCAGCTCCTCATAGTTTTTCAGCAAGAGCTTTGTCCATTGACCCATCACCCTAGTCAATATTTTCTTTTTGTTTTTTTTTATATTTTATTTTCCAGTTTAAATTTAGATAAGAAACAAGTTGCTTCACAAGTCAGTTTCAGGTCCCTCTCCCATTCCCTCCCCTCTTCCCGTGCCCTCCCCCAACCCCCCCCCGTTATCCCCTCATTCCCCCAGGGAGGGTGAGGCCCTCTTCTTTTTGTTTTTAAGACGAAGAATTTTAAAAAGAAACTGGGAATTATGAGAGTTGAAGACTATAATATTTCTCTAAGA